TGTTAGTGAGAACGTTATGTGTCAGCTAATTGGCAGCATGAAGGGAAGGAGAAACTTTACCCTGATACTGTCTGAATTCCTTTAATTCTGAACTTTAGGCCTTTTCTGTAACATCAGCTTGAACCATTTCTAAGGGTTGAGTTTGGAGAGATTCCGTGAGGTAATAGGAAATTCAGGGGTGTTGAAGAAGTATATATAGGTTCTCCTCTCACTGCCCTTGCTGCCAGATTATTCTGGATGAAGTCCTTCACTTCTCTGTGCCAGTTTCTCCTTCCGATAATGTCATTGAGTTGGCCTCAAAAGGGCTCCAACTCTCCTTATAATTAAAAATTTCTGTAATGCTGTGTCTTATGGAACTACTGCAATACAAAAGGTGTCCTAGAGATTACAGTTGCAATATTACTTATTTCCAGGTGGCACTTGGAGTTAGAAATACTCGATGCTTTTCCTGGGACAGACTATCCACAGTGTAACTTAAGGTCAGGCCTTGTTGAACCGGTTGTTAAAGTGCTTTTCGCTCGCCACACTGTTGGTGTCTCCTCAACTTTACAAGAGGCTTCCCAGTGAAGAGTCACCTGGTGTCTGTTGAGGCCAGCATAACTGATGCTGGGAGCGGCCATCAGTGACCCCATGTGATTATTCTGTACGCTCCTTCTAGTGTAACGAAAGATGCATTTAAAAGATCATCTGTCCTAAATTCCATTTAGGATTCAGTTCCTTTCCAGAGTAGTGCAGTGAAAATTTAAAAGATTACAGGGAGATACACTCATAGCAGCAACCTGTCATTTATATATAAAAGCATTAAAGGAAATTGACGTATTATATTGAAGGGAGGCTCAGCTTTAAAAATTTTCACTTGAAGAGTCTTATTAGTATATTATATATTTGAGTGATACCATTGGGAAAACACGAGGTCATTTTTTCCCTGAAAAAAATTTTTTTTAATTTCAAATAACTTGTAGTGAATCACCATGAGATATACAATCACACAATTGTTCACGATTGGGTTTCAGTCATAGAATGTTCCAATACCCATCCCTTCACCAGTATAGAAACAAGGACAAGCAGGACTGGTCCATGGATGGAAACTTGCGATAAGTGGAAGGTCCAGGAAAGGCAGCTAGGATAGAGAAGGGACCAGTGTGGCAATGAAAGTTAGAAATGATCACTCTGGACAAGAACTGAGTGCTGAAATGATATACATTATAAGCTTTCAATACTTGTATTGCAAACCATAATTCCCAGAGGGGTGTGTGTGTGTGTGTGTGTGTGTGTGTGTGTGTGTGTGTTGTGTGTATGTATGTGTGTGTGAGAGAGAGAAAGAGACAGAGAGAGAGAGAGAGAGAGAGAGAGAGAGAGAGGAAAAGTACCTGTCATAGAGGCAGGCTGGGGTGGGGGTACTGGATGAGGGTGATAAAAAAATATGTCACATGAGACTTAAAAAATTTTTAAGGTAGAAAATTGGAAGTACTTTGAGAATGTTATCACTTGCCAACTTATGAAGTTGAAAGAGGGAAATTTTATTTTATTTTATTTTATTTTTGGATCATATCTGGCCGTATTCATAACTTTGCACTCAGGGATCACTACTGGCAGGTTTGGGGGATCCTGTGAAGTGTCAGGGGTCAGACTTGGGCTGGTAACATGCAAGGCAAGTTCCCTGACCTCTGTACTATGCCTCGGGGCCCAAAGAGGAAGAATTTTTTTTTTGGGGGGGGTTGTTTTTGTTTTGAGGAGGAATTTTACACTTGATCTTAGCCAAAAGGCCGAGCAGCGATTGAGGAGGAATTTTAAACCAAAGAATGAAAATAGGTTTCAAGATATGTTATTTCTCTGATGCGCCCATATCTTCTACACTGTAAAGGAGACCACTCCTGAGGCTCACGGAATCCTGACCTGGCAAGGAGACCATTCCTAAGCCCCATGGAGTACTGGCCTGGCTAAGGCTTATAGCCTGTGAGCTGGTTGCCTCAGACTGCTGTGAAAGGAAGGCCAATTCCAAAGGGAACTCTGACCCACTCTGACTGCCATGTCACCATGCCATGAAGTCTGAAGAGCTGCCGTGGGATAGAGAACTGGGTATGAAGGAGGATGGTTATTAGATGCGTGTCATGGAATGGAAACTTTCAGGGAAGTAGAAAGGATGGGTGTGGGAAGGTGATGATGCGTTAGTGAAGGCCTCTCGGTCTCCTTCCCTGGTGCTCAGCACTGTTCTTGGTGTGTGTTTTGAAAGACAGCTATCACATTGTGTTTGTGTGTAATGAGTAGCAGTGCTTGTGCCTGATACGTTTTGTTACCCGGCCCGGGTACCAAATTACTGGGCTAAGTCTCTCCTCGGACTCTGCTCAGGGATTACCCCTAAATTAAACTAAATCAATAACTGGGCAAAGGACATTTTTCCAACAATCTTTCAATGACCATAAAATGATGCCATAATGTGCAGAAGATGTAATCTCACACATCCTAGGATGTTATTATGAAAAATAATGTGAAACTAGAAAATGAGTGCTGGTGAGATATGAGGGATGGGAACCTCCACTATTGCTGGTGAGAGTGCAAAAATGTTCAACTACTGTGAGGACCTCAAAAAGTTACACATGCAACCAACACATGACCTACCAATTCTAATCTTCTTTATATACTTCAAAACTTGAAAGCAGGTGTTCAACCAAAAATTGGTCATGATTGTCTGAAGCACAGTCACATTGGTGCAGTTGAAACCAACAAAATGCCATCAAGTGATGGAGGTATCAACAGTATGTGGTATGCCCATATAATGGAAGCTTTTCAGCCATAAGACAGAATTAAGGATGGATGCATGCTACAGTGTGAATGAACGTTGGAAGCATCCTGAATAAAACCAGGCACATACAAAATGTCAGGTTTTGTATGATTCCAGAATTGGTAAGTCTCTCGAGAGCAAAGCAGATTCTTGATGACTGGGGACTGAGAAGAATAAAGGGGGTGGTGTAAGGGTGGGGATTCCTGCTATGCCATTGGAACTGTAGCACTGCCAATAAATTTTACTTGCTAAAATTGTTCCATTTTATAATATGTTTATTTTTCCACACACACAAAAATATCTGCAAACTATATAACCCTCAGAGAAACCCTGGTAACATAATTCTGTTGACAAATGAGCTCAGCTTTGCTAAAGGAACAAATATACACTTAAAGCACAGCCTGAGGGGTGGGGGAAAGGTTCTAGATGAAAATGTATGAGACCCTGGATTGTAGTCCTGTGTCTGGCCTGCTTTGTTGCTAGGAGGTCCAGGCCTCGGATGAGGGCTGGCTAAATCCTCTCATCCTGGGTGGGAGAAACCTGCCGTCATGTCTAGCTCTTTTCTTCCTCTCATCCCTTCATCTGTTCCGACATCTTACACAGTCAGAAGGTGAAGTGTTTCTAATGTAATGGGCTATCACCATCAAAAGGAAGTAGGGTGGGGAAACTGAGGTATGATGTTTGGTAGAATCCCGTATTATTTAAAAGGCATAGTGTGGATTCATTCCTGAGCACTACTGAAAGTAGACTCACTCATTTCTTCATCCTGCCCACCAGCAGATATTTATTGAACACAAGGGATTGTGTGACACTGAAAACCAAAGCGCCTGGATGTGTGGTGTGTGTGTTCTAGAGGGAGAAGAGTTAACTGTTGCACTGCAAGTGTGGTGCATGCTGTGAAGACGAGGTCAGTGGCACTTGTGGTTGACCACTTCCGGGTCAGGGCACTGCTCTGCCAGAGTCCTAGCTGACCCACAGCATGAAAGATGACTTGGAATTACCTGGGAGAACCTGGAAGGTTCTTCTGGAATTTCCCAGGAAGAGGGAACTAGGAAGAGGAAGGAAGAGTGGGCGATGGTGAGGACAGCTTGGTTCTAGGGCCTCACACTGTGCCAGCCCAGCATTCTTGCACCAAAGAGTACAGACAATATTGCCTCCAGATCACAGAACTTCTGCCAGCTAATGCTCTTTGTGAGCCCACGGAAATCCCTCCTTGATGCTGGCTGTGTAGTGTCAGCCACACAGCATCTCTAGAACTCCAGGTGTTTCCAGGCGTCAGCTGGGGTCTGCAGCCTCCATTCCTCAGAGCCCTGAGCTGCACCTGGCAGGCAGCCTGGCCTCCAGAGCAAGCAAGGAATGTGCCAGGCAGGGGGCGAAAGCCCACTTCTCCATTCCATCTTTCAGTTTTCAGTCCTTCCAGCCAGTGAGGCTGGACTCTGAGGATGGAGCACTCCAGGCTCCCGGCTCCCGCCTACGCCACAGCAAACATTTGGATTTGAGCAGTGCAGGTGGTGAACTGAATTCACACATTAGAAATGCTTCCCATTTGGGGATTTTTGGATTTGTTTGGGTTTTTTGTGCATTGATTCTGTATGTGGGTGGGGGAGGGGAGTTGGGCCACACCTAACTGTGCTCAAGGCTTCGTTATGGTTCTATGTTCTGGGGACTGAACCCAGGATGGCTTCATAAGAGGCAAACAGTGACCTACAGTACTATCTCTCTGGCCCCTTCACTGACTCTTTATAAATGACCAGGGGAAATAAAATAACAACAATAATGGCTCGTCACTTGACAATAATCTTCCTGATATCATGCACTGTATTTCATGTATCTTATGCTCTGTGTGTTTCAGGCACGGGCAGGGCTTTTGAAGGAACCAAGTTCGGTTTTTATGCCTGCTCTACTCTTACCTGTCTAGTGCTTCTGTTTGGGTAGAGCCCAGTTGGACGGCGCTCACACTGGCGGGAGTGTTTTGTACCCCTCAGAGGCACCCCCTTAGCTGTGCTGTAGGTGAAGGGCCCAGAGCTTCCTCGGGGGCTGTGTCGTGCCCTGGTCTGGCCTGCGTGCAGGCGCAGTGGGAACGTCCCGTTAAGGAGAAGAGCTGGTGGTGCGCCTGTGGAGGCATTCCCCCAGAGTCAGCTCAATCTTCAGTGTCTGTTTTCCTTAACAGTCAGCAATCTAGTCTCTCAGACTTAATTTTATTCTCTCTTGATTTCAGGAGAGCAGATCTGGAGAAGCCAACAGCTGTGTAGAAGAAATAATTCGGGTAAGGATGTTCCTTTGCAAATCTTATCAACTGATTGAACATAGAACGCCGCCGAGTGAGGTGTCATTAACCAAGGGAGCCCATTGTTTCCTGTTTGACACTTCACCTGAGAGTAATTGCATAAACTGCCTAAGTGACACTTCACAAAGCAGTGCTCCTCTTAGAGAGCCCAGGAATGCACCTCCAACTGGCGCCTGTGCGCGAGGCTGATTAAAGTGATCAGCTGGAAGTCAGAGAGGGCTGAGGCGCCCGATGCACTCCTCTTACCTCTGGGTGCCGTTCCCCACCCTGCTGCGTAGACGCATCCTTCGGTAGCCCATGCTTCTGACGCACATACAGGTTGCCTGTTAGTTTCCCCCGAATGTAATTACAGGCAGAAGCTCTGTGGCATGGAGGCAATGCTCAGTGTCTGAACATTCATTTCTGTATGACTTTTCCTGTTATTCCGATTATTTTCCCATGGCAAGCTACCCGTGAGGTATTCGATATGCCAAACACAGCAGCAACAAAGTCTCCAATGGAGACGTTACTGGGCCCGCTCGAGCAAATCGATGAACAGCGGGAAGACAGTGACAGAGACAGTGCTCCATAGCACATCCTTTCATTATCACTATCTATAGGGCTTATCACCACGCACCACTTTTGCACTGGAACTCATAAAATTGATTGTTTTGCCAGGTTTCTTATTCCTCACGATTTAAGCTCATAATCAGGATGTCATCTTCAACCCATATTTTTTCTTCACTTATATATTTTCCAAGGGAATAACCAAATAATTTATGGTTCTCAGAAAGCTAATATTCCACTAAGAAAAAAATTAGAAATGGAGCAATAGCACAGCGGTAGGGCGTTTGCCTTGCACGCAGCCAACATGGCCGACCCAAGTTCGATTCCTCCGCCCCTCTCGGAGAGCCCGGCAAGCTACTGAGAGTATCTCGCCTGCACGGCAGAGCCTGGCAAGCTCCCCGTGACATATTTGATATGCCAAACACAGTAACAACAAAGTCTCCAATGGAGACGTTACTGGGCCCGCTCGAGCAAATCGATGATCAACGGGAGGGCCTTTACCTTTACCTTTACCTTACCTATTTAAAAAACCTTTATTTTAACATGTTTTTAATTATTTCACATCTGAACACTTTTCCTTGGGTTTCTAGTGAATTATAATAATGCAGTTATTTTGTTTAAAGTTTTATATTAATCTTAATTTTAAATATTCTTCAAGGACAAGATTTTTTTCTTTTCACAAATCATTTTGCCACAAACAATTTTTTTAAGTTGGCAAAAACTATTGAGTTTAATTTGTAGTATTCAGGGTGATGTTTTTAAATTCTGAAGGGATTTATATAGAAAAGGCTTGTCAAAGTGGGTAGTTTTATTTCTGGTATATGTATGTTAAATAAAGTGCTGTGTCATATATCTGCATGTTTATACCAGGGGGCTTTGCACACTTAGCAATGACAGTGTTAGGTGAGTCCAAGGAAGTGGGAGTGTTTCAGGAGCACAGTGATGGGTGTTAACTCAGGAAACCTAAGCTTCTTGCGGAGGAGGTGAGGGGACGAAGGAATGTTATCCAACAGACATGGTGTATTGTCTTTTGCGGTGCTGAGTTCCCATGGATGGTCTTCCTAGAGCCTATTTTTCTTACTGATTTTCTCATACATTGTAATCAACTTAGGTAAATGTGATAGGACTCCATGACTGCCAGGGGCTCTTTTTACCTGCAACCATCACCTGTGAAAGGTGACTGTTACTGTGGAGGAAGAGAAGGGTGACTTTAAAATTCCTTAAAATGAAGACCAGGGCATTGTTTTCACAGCTGTTAGCACATGGCAGGTACTCAGAGAAGGTGCTGGCCAGTGACAGCCCACCTGTCCTCCTTGGAAGTGACAGTGTGCTGTGGGTGAGGAGTGCTAATTGTTTTAGTGCCACTTACATAAATGTCAGACATCAACTATGTTATCTCAGGTTTTCTAAGACCTTGTTTGGGATGAAGGACAGATTTCCTGAGGAAGAAATGTTTGAATAACTATGGTGGAGGTGAGGAGTGAATGAAAAATCTATGGAGGGTAAAGTTCCAAGAAAGAAGTGGGGCAGCCTGGCTTGTCTGACACCAAGAGGCAGGTTAGGTCAGGCGGCCAGAGAGTAAGTGGGGAATGTGGGCAGGACTTAGACAGTGCCCGCCCGCCTCAGCCCTGCCCAGGAGCTCTGGAGCAGAGAAGAATTTGAGCAGGGCTGTGAGTGAGGAGTTCCTTAAGTGTACAGCTGGGAAGTCGTGGGGAATGGGCTGAGAAGAGGGTGGCTGGGACAGCTTCCCAGGTGAAAGTCTCATGGGAGGCCACTCACAGATGTGTGGAATATTGAGGGAGGAGAATGCATCACAAATTGATTTTCAGAAATGCTCAGTTTGAGTTTCATTTAAGTCATTAACAAAAACAAGGAGAATATAGATGAAAATAGATGGGGCTAAAACAAGCAAAAGCCCATGTATGCATGAGGCTAAAGCACAATACGGAGGTCTCAGTGCTGACCAGGATTCTGTATTCATTGGCATGCTGACAAATAAAACCTTAGAAATAGATGAATGCACGTGAAGACAGACTAAAGATAGAGGAAATAATGAGAATCTAAATTCTAGCATTTGGAAATCAGGAAAAGGAAGCTGTCATAAGAAGGGATACGAAGAGAAGCCGAGGGAAATACTCCGACAGTGAAAAGTCAGAGACGTGGGAAAGAGTGAATCCATTTCACAGTACACAGAATTTCTAACAAGAGATATGAGAATGAAAAACCACTCAGGTTAAGGGTGGAATTAAGGCTTTCAGAGGCAAGCATAATGTACTATACGGATTTTGGTTTATAATGACACCCGCACAAAGCCTCTGTGAAATTATAATGTGATACTATTTCAATAAGATATAAAGATGGCCAGTGGACAAGACAGCAAAAAGTTCACTAATGACTGTCCTGAGTGTGTTTCTGTGGAATACAGAGGCAGAATTCTCAGGCTAGAACCAGGAAATGGTGTCGGTGAGTATAGATGTGATAAGGGCCAGTTTCTATTCCAGCACGGTTTCATTTTCCGTAAATACGTTGGCCACTATGAGGTGATGCAGAGGGAACATTTGTCAAGCCACGTGATGCACGAACACTTGTCTAAGTCTTTTGCCTGTGTTATTCATTTGACCTTCCTAACTGCCATCTGAAGGAGGCACTAGCACATCCCAGTTCCCCCAGGAAAGGTGACAGGTATCCCCTGGCCCAGAGGACATAGCTTGCAGGTGCCGCACCCATCTGCTCTTGGCACCCCTCTCTGAACCACTGCTGTCTCATTGAACGAGGGTATCCCCTGGCTCATTGAAGAAACCTCACAAACACGTCACGGAAAGCAAATTTTGGCATTTCCATGTGCTTATTATTTGAAAGTGCCGGATTATGCATTTGTGCTCTTGAACTCACAGCCTTTTCATGGCTAATGTTGTCAAAGTCATCTTTAAGCTTCTTTTTTCTCTCCTCCTCTTTATTTTTGCTGAGGTGATTATTTTCAAGTTGTTTGAACAGTGCTTTGTGTTCTGTAATGTAATTATTTTTTATTCTTACTCAGAATTTTAATCCTGGGACCCAATCAATCTCCATAATATTGCAAAAATGCACTTAACCAAGGGAGAAATTATAACCATGTTCTATAGAGATGGGTGATAAGGGCTGGGGGCTCTTATGTTTGTTACTGTTTTCTAAGTTATAATATATTTCATCCTTAACGGTTCCAGTGCTGTAATGTCGAGGTACTTTTCAAGCATTATCCATTAACATAAAATGACATTAACATTTGTTCAGCAAATAAAATTCACATACAACTTAATGGGTGGCACAGGGCTAGAGCCTGCATGGTAGACCGATTTAGGTGGCAGCTGTTGAGGGCACTACCCGTTCCATTTTGAGCCTTGGTCCGGGGAAAGCAGTGTGTGAGAGATGAATCATTCCAGCACAGTTCCCAAGTAGCCCACCTTCGTGACTTTCCCTGGTGATTGCTGCTTTAATCACCATTTCCTGTGAAACATTCATAGTGGATATTGCATAGAGTTGCATCTCTCGCTCTGTATACAGAGCAACCAGTGCTTGTTTAAGTTCTGGAGACCCAAACCAGTTTTCTGGAACTGTGACCAAACAGACATTATTAGCCAGTTAAAGAAACTCCTTTCCTTTGGTTTTCTAAAAGCCAAGGATCCTCCTGGACAAGATTTTCACGTGGGATTCTGGAATGTCTGTGAGCGAGTAGCATGAAATGTGTGTCACTCTGGTCTCTTCACATTCGGCTGTACTTAAATGTCTGCCTGCTTTGTAACCAAAGGAAAAAACCCAAATATTAGCTACTCTCTGGGGCAAATAGACAACAAGGACATGATGGGTTTTAAGTACCTAGTTTTAGAATTAAACCCAGGTCAAATCTCCCTTGCTTCAGCCTCACAGACTTTATTCCCTGTTCTTGATGGGATAAATTATTTTGGTTATTTTCAATAGCAAATATTTCATTAGTGACAAAATAAAATCCATAAATGGCAAAACAAATTTGGGCCCATATTAGCATAGCCCATTACTTGAGGCAATAAAATACAAGTAGACCTGAGAGAGACAAAGGGAAATTCACCGTGCAAGACTGATAAGTCTTATCCAAGGGAAAACCATTTTGCTTAAAAGTGTTTTCTTTTCATTTTCTTTTAGTCATCTGAATGGATACAGAGATAGATATCATCCTTTATATTCTGTTGATGCATTTTATACCCATCATTTTATTAGTCCTTCTGTCTACAACCACAAAACCATGTATACAACCGAAAGCCATAACTACTGTGATTTATAATACTATTAACAATAAAGTTTCATGCATCCAACCCTCCAACCCAACACCCTCCAGCAGAGTGTGGGCTTCCTTCCATTAATGACCGTCTTGGGGTCCCTCCCAAGCCCTTCCCCCACTTGCCCCCCAGTTACGTAAAGCA